GAATATAAAATATTTACAATCATTTCAGGCGAACGTAATTTTTGCAATCTATGTCAACCTCGCTCGCGCAAGTTTGATATTGCGCTGTAAAACCGGGGAATTGGCAACCCTGCGTTACAACACATTCAACATGTGATGTGTTATTAAACGCCACAGGGGCGGGGCTCTGAATACTAACGTTCGCGTGGTTTATGACCAGTCTATGTTTATGATACCACTTTCGAGTGGAAACGAGTGATATCGTAAGTTTCTACAGTCTATGGGTCGTACTCATGTCTCTCTACCGAAACACAGTTTGGTTCCTGAAAGGTCTTCAGGAATATACAAAGTAAGTCATAATCGGTCTGTCTTTTTTCGCCTCAGCCAGCCTGCCCATCACTTTGACATATAACGTTAAACGGTATTCTCCCTAATATCACCATCGATAGTTTGTGCAGTGCTCTAGTTAAAGTCCAGTTTATTGTCATCAGGGGCGGTTATGAGGCAGCAGAGAGGCGCTTCAGCGCTGCGGATCTGGAAGTGAATGTGAGCGGCCGCTCGTTCATCATCACCGGAGCGAACAGTGGCATAGGGAAAGCCACCGCCTACGAAATCGCAAAAAGAGGTGAGAACAAAGACGACTGCCATTCATTCATACTCTTTTATAAGCGAAGATCTTGTACATTCTGTCACCTTTGTTATGACAATTGGACGTTTCAACAAAATGGACACAACAGTAACTCCTACTGGCAAATGATGTGTAGTGCTACTGAAAATCGCAGCAATTCAAAGTTCTTTCAAACGATTTTGTTTTTCTTCAGGGGGGACAGTGCATCTGGTGTGCAGAAATAAAGATCGTGCGGAGGAGGCAAGAAAAGAGATCGTGGAGCAAAGTAAAAATGAGGTAAATGTAACTTAATGCTTTAAATCATTATTTCACATGCGTCTGAAATGGAAGCAATGAACTCTTTGTCTCGTGTGTTTCAGAATGTCCATGTTCACCTAGTTGACATGTCCAGCCCCAGGAAAGTGTGGGAGTTTGCCAATGGATTCTCTCAGAAACACAATCTACATGCTTTGGTGAATGGCTTTAATTTGGAGATATCAACATACCATAATAAGCTAAAGCAGTCGAGTGCATTGCAAAATCACTGTACTGCACAGGGATATTGCTATTATAATGTGATGACTATTATAAAATGGTGTGACAACTAACCATTTTACAGTGTACAACAAAGCATGTGCCATCTGTACATTGTCATCATGTCTCCACTTGTGATTGTACTTGAAATGTGATTTATTGCCATAGATCAATAATGCGGGTTGCATGGTCAATCAGAGAGAACTGACTGAGGATGGTCTGGAGAAAAACTTTGCGACAAACACACTTGGTAGGAAAGTTAATTCATGCTTTTTCTGATCTGATATTGATCATATCTTAACATTTTTCCAATAGGGACCACACAGTATGAGCTCTTACTGCTTATTTATAGTACTGAGTTACAAAGGTCGGAGGATATCCCTTATGGTAGAGAATGTTTTTAGGGTCACCACTTCAAATCTAGAGATAAGATAAAAGAGACCGGTTGGCACACTGATCTTGTTTGTTTTACAGGGACTTATATTCTGACGACAGCACTGATTCCTACACTGAAGAAGTCAGAGAATCCAAGAGTGGTGAGTGTGAAGAAATGCATCAGTTCTCCTGCGTCCTAATAAGTAGAGTAATAAACACGCCGTTTGCAAACAGAGGCAGTGCCACCATTTATCTCTGTTTCCAAACACATTTACACTTACACCAGTGCTGAGATTAACATTCATGCTTTAGAAGTATTTTCATTGTTAGTTCTTGTTAACGAATGTAGTTAACTAATGTTAAACAATGAAACCTTATTGTAAAGTGTTACCATTATTGTTTTTATTTTATTTTAGAATAATTATTTTGATTAATTATCATTTTGTTTTATTACAGATCACTGTGTCATCTGGTGGGATGCTGGTTCAGAAGTTGAATGTAGAGGACCTTCAGTTTGAGAAAGGATCTTTTGACGGGACTATGGTTTATGCACAGAACAAGGTACTACTCTAAATTATAAACTTCTTTAGTAAAAACTTTGCACTGCATTTTTTTTTTACTCTTATTTCATATGTCCATAGACTACAAAAATTAATTCCATAGTCCATAGACTACAAAACCATCATACTTTTGGTGCTAACCAATCCAGTCCATCAATGATAAAAAATAATAGTGGCACAACGCACAAGACAACATATTCACCACAAGACAGCAGCATCACCACTCTGCTTTTGTTACATTGAACATAATTTATTGTTGTCACCGTGTAAGCTTTTATACATCGTGTAGCCTGATTCACTGTCCTCATGTTATTTCTGAGTTTATAGTATGTGAAAAAAAAATGGATTTAAAATATTGTTTTGATGTTTTCAGTAAAAATTCTAGAGTTGATTAGCGTAAACTGTGACCTTTCTCAGAGGCAACAGGTGATCATGACCGAGCAATTCGCAGCTCAGCACAAGGAAATCCACTTCTCATCCATGCACCCCGGCTGGGCAGACACCCCAGGTGGGCAGCGTGTTTATACAATAAGATATTGTGTATCTCAGTCGCTACAATATTGTTTTGGATCTGTGTTCTGTCCACAGCGGTACAGTCATCCATGCCTGATTTTCATGCGAAAATGAAGAATAAGCTCCGTACTGAAGCTCAGGGCGCTGACACAGTGGTGTGGCTGGCTATGTCAGATGCTGCCAGCAGGCAGCCCAGTGGCCTCTTCTTCCAAGGTCAAGCATCTTTATAAAGTGTGCAGTTATTTGTCATTTTGCAGCAGTGTTGGGGTTAAGGCAAAGTACATGTAACATGTGTGATGTAATCAGATTACTTTTTCCAAGTAACTAGCAAAGTAATGGATTATTTTTTAAATTTACAACAAAATGTATAAACCAAACAAGCAAGCCTAGACCAGATGAGAAGTTACAAAATTAGTTACTTTTAGTAACTTAATATTGTAAATGGATTACTTTTAAAAGCAACTTCACCCAGCACTGTTTAGCAGAAAGTGTATGTTAGTTTGCTGATCACATCTTTTGAATATGTCTTTATGTATAGCAGACTAAAGGTCTCTTTAACATGTAACTGATCGTTGCCCTCTCTTCCACAAACGGATTCATCTGCAGACAGAAAAGCTGTTTCTACGCATCTGCCTCTGGCCTTCTCCAGGTCCTCTCCAGCTGAAGACCAGAAGCTGATGACCACGCTGGAGGAGCTCGCCATCAAATTCAAGTGTTAATCGGTTGAGTTATTGGCTGAATCATTCCTCACAGAGATTGTGATGTTCATTCTTAATAATGCAGAGATGTGAGAAGCTCATGATTTCTATACCAAATCAGGCTAACCAAAACAACCTAAAATGTATATTCAAAATATTTCAAATTTATTGTCCATTCTTCTGAACAAATACATACTAGTTTAAGGCTACTAATACATGCACTTCTGCTTTTTGGAATTGGCAGTTGTATGAGTTTCTTGATTTAAAAGTAAAATGGCTGTGGTTAACATTATTCCAATGTGTTTTCTACGTAAATTGCAAAGTCATTCCCCAAACAACTACCACAAGGTTTTGAGTATGCATTGATGGTTTGGACAACTATTGCAGTCTGTAAAACAACAGATTATTTGATTTATAAATCTAAAACTGCTGTTCCATAAAACCCCAAATTTTGAATTAGCCTCACAGGCTGGCCAAGAAACTGACATCAAACCTGAACAGCTGTCTGAGAACATGATATACAACACTACCAATAACTTGTACTCACACTATCATACAAATAAATAGATGACTGTTTCAAACTGAACAAAAAAAAATTCAAACTGAACAAATAAACATGAAGATGAACATATACACAAATATTATAGATGTGTTTGCCTCTTATACACACTAACAAACGAGTTTACAATTAACTAGCTAATTATTGACTAAAAAATATTGTTAAGCCAATTTGTGGCTATTAATGTGATTTTTAATAAAATATGAAAATAGTGAATCTGTCTGAATCTTTTAGACAAATTGAATTTATTTACATTTCTATTAACAATTATGAGCTTTACATAAGACTTTCTTATCAAAACAACTGATCAGATCATGTTTATGTAGGATTTGAAATTTTTTAAGAGCCATTACAAACAAAAAGAATCTGACTATCATGTGACAAAAAATAAGGGAATTTAATTCAAGGTGAACAAAGACTTTACTCCCATTACTTGTCAAAAGTTTGGGGTCAATAAGATTTTCTTTAATTAATATTTTTATTCCGCAAGAACACATTTAAATAATCAACAGTGACAGTAAATACATTTAGAATTTTACAAATAAAAAAATAAATGCTGTTCTTTGCTCACAGAATCCTGAAAATAAATGCATCACAGTTTCCACAAAATATTGAGTAGCACAACTATAAATACTGATATATATATATATATATATATATATATATATATATATATATATATATATATATATGAATACCAAATCAGCATCTTCAAATAATTTCTGAAGGATCATGTGACACTGAAGAGTGGATTGGCTGCAACTTCAGCTTTGCCATCAGAAATAAATTACTTTTTAAAATATATACAAATAGAATAAATGCAGCCTTTGTGAGCATAAGAGACTTCCTTCAAAATATATATATATATTAAAAAAACTGACCCCAAACTACAATGGTTTACTTTAAAATGAGCCAAGTCCCATTTTAGTCAAATGAGTCCTTTTCAAAAACACTAACCTCGCCATAATCATTCAGCTGTAGCGTTTCACATACTGTGGCTTTACAGTAACCTCTTAAAAATGCTCAATGTCCATATTGTGCTATAGGACAGGACACTCACTTTGCAAGTCATTATGTAACCCATGATTGATTTAACATACAGCAAAAATTGTGCCTGAAGAAAGACATTAAAATTTCTCATTGCCATTGAAAGAATGAAAAACAGTGAATGTTTCTTACAGTAATGAGATGTCTATGAAACATCAGCTTTAATCAAACCAAACACAGTATTATTACAATAAAGCATTGCTGAATTGTACCCTGTATAAACAACATCTGTGATTATGTGTGTTTAATTCTTCTATTAAATTTACCAGTGTAAAAATACCGGTAAAATTAAGTGCTTACATTTAAAGAGTCAAGATTGCCAGATCATGACCAAGAGTCAAAAGCAGGCAGTATTTTCCCATGCCAAAACCACTGATTGATGTGCAGTGAAGGCACTTGAATATAGAAACTGTTCCAGCATGCTTTAATGCATTATCAGGAGGATTCATTTGTGTTTAGGATAAGACATAACAAGATGATGAAATAATATTTTACAGACAACATAACATTAGGTCATGTCAATATAAACAATTGGAACTAAACAGATTTAGACTGGAAAGTATTTACATGTTTGTTTCCATAACCCACATGCACAAATACATACAAATGCACATGCTCAGTTTAAACCATCAGTTAAATCTCATGAAATCCTTGAGTTTTTCCACCATGAGATGAAGCTGCCCATGGAAAGGGGCCAGAACTCTGAACGTTCTCCGTGGTTCAGGTTCAGAACGGATTCTTAGTTCTTGCTGCTTGCAGATGATGGAGATGATTCTCATGATACCACTGGAGTCATGTCCCATAGCTGCATGTAAACACCACAGATTTTCAAATGATTTCAATCTCCAGCCACAATTTATCAAACAGTACACTCAACACTCTTGTGTGAGAACAGTGACCGACCTTGATCACTTTGTCTGTCCCGGAGGTGAGCAGCCAGCCTCTGGTTGGTTCATACTGCATATGTATGATGCTGTGCTTACTGTCATGGAACGTTGCAGTGGGTGCCCGTCTGGACAAGAAGAAAGCTTTGGGTGATCCCATCATTTGAGATAGTCAAAACATTGAAGACAGTAAAAATTTTACTTACTCCTCATCTGTAATGGAGTCGTGACAACTGTCACAAACCCGCACTTCAAACTCAAATCCCATGAGAGGAATCGTGGAACGTTTAGAGGAGCACTTTCCACAAACGGCTTGGCCACACTTCCTACAGTGATGCTGGCAAGGGAGAAAAATGAAGCTGCTTCAAATTATACTCAAGATTTGGCTGAATAAAGTACTGCAAACAATCATTTAACTAAACCAGAAAAACTTAATTTGAGATATATTTTCGGAAAACTATTCTTCATGTATTTACAGTCCTATTTAAGATTTTCGTTCATCTTCGGAAAACAAATGAACATATTTTTGCTGAAATCTGAGAGCTGGATCACTCCTCCATAGTAAAAACATCGTTAAAGTAGTCTAAGTGACGACAGTGGCTCAACCTTAACGTGACGAGGATACTTTTTATGTGCAAAAAAATCCCCTAAAATAACAAATAACGACTTTGTTCAACTAATCATTTTCTTCTGTGTGGGCCTATACGCCTTATTCACGGCAGCGCCATCTTTGATTTTTAATGAGAATGAAAGCGAGGCTGTGAGGGATAGGCATGCATCTATTCAATGGGCTGTACTGTTATTTAATGTGTTTTCGGATTGTTCCGCTCATGAAACACTGGAAAAATATCTTTCCAAGAAATGTCAGTTGACAAAAAACTCCCGACAATGTAAGCTGTGGAAATTTGTAAGTAATCTAGGAGCTTTATTCCGCTTTTTACAGCGTATGCCATTGAAAACACGGTAAGTCTATCCCTCACAGCCTAACTTTCATACCTGTCATGGCGCTGCTCTGAATAAGGTCTATGAGTTCACGAGTGCGCCTCGACCCATGCGCGAGAACCACAGGTGTTCCTAATAATCCTTAAAGTAAGTGTATATGTGTGTATATATATATATATATATATATATATTTTTTTTAAATAGATTAATCTTGTTTTTTTTCTTGATTTTGCAGCAAAATAAGACAAAATATATATTTTCATTATTATTAACTTATTTTTCTTTTATTTATTTTTTCTATCAATCTATGTACAATCTATGTTTTTGTGTGCAGTACCTGGCGGAGACCAATTTTCTTACTATCCCACATCTGTTTGAAATTCCAGAAGAACGGCTGTTCACACTTCTGGCACGAGTCACTGTCAAGCCACTCCGGGGTCTGAGATAAAGAACAGATGAAGACATGCTGAAACTAACATAAATATCACACATCCTGTTGACAGAGACAATCACTTTTGTCCTAGATGATACTTTCTAGCTCTACATCTCTCTCACCTCTTGTCGTGTGACGTCCATGTTCCAGATAACTATTCCTCCATCTGAGCCACAGGAAATGAGCTGACGAGTGTGAGGAGCGTAACACAAGCCCTGCACTTTATCACTGTCACACACACACACAGACACAAATATTAGGATATGACACCCATGCTTTCTAGAGTCTCAAATCTTAAATACATGACAACAATTTATCCATGTCCTACTTGTGTCCCTGCAGTTCAATAGCTGTGCCTTTACGGCCTCCAATGTCCCACATGATGATTGAATGATCAGAACTTCCAGAGAATAAAACCCTTTGCACAGGATCCCAAGACAGTGACGTAACATTGCCTGCACACATACAGGGTCTATGTTAAAAGATTCAATAAGATGTACATTTGCAGTGTGCAGGGTTAGTTACAGTGGAAGTGCAGGGATACTTCTTTCCATTATACAAAATTACGTGGATGCATGCATGAAGATCAGTATTTTGTGTATCATGTGGTTATGAGGACTTAAAGCCACGTGATAAACAAAATAAACTAATCTTCATGCATACATCCACATAATATTCCTCTTAAATGGGGAAATAATTATAATTTAGTTCATGTTTGTACTTGAAGCCCAATTAAGTATTTAATTTATTCACTTGAAGTCCTTGATATGTGAAAAGTGTGTCTATTTGTAAAGTGCTGTTTGCGGAAGCACCTGTGTGGCCTTTAAATGTGGTAACAAGGCTGCAGTTGTCCTGCTCCAGCTTCAGGATTGTCACTTGTCCGGAAAGATCTCCAACGAAGGCATGTCTGGTCTCCACATCAAATCTTACACAGATCGTCAAGAAGCCCATGCTATAAAATTTCAGAACCGCTCCTGAATCTCTTCTTATCTATTAATAATCTTCTATCATTAATTTCATTCGGATGGTCAAAAACATTGTGAACATTTCTCATATTCCAGCCCGTTTTGGAACACCATGAAGCTGAGTACATGATGACATTATTTCCATTTTTGGGTGAACAATCCTTTTATCTAGTTATATTTGTAAAATAAATTACACATAATTGGTGTTTTTGTTGTTGAACAGAAAAAAACAAGCATTATTTTAAGGAAGCTTATTTCCTATAATAAAGCAAAAGTAAATTCATACAACGGGTTTTCATCAGAAGACAACACAAACTGCAAATAGAAAGTAAGATTCCACATTTTATAAAGACTGAATAAAAACATGTGGGATATTTCATATCTGAAGTGGCGTATGAATGGATACTGTAGTCCAGACACCCATGCTGTGGTCCTGTATGTGCCCAGCTGCTGTCCGCTCTCTGAGCAGTGCCATGTAAAACTCTTGTCCTGACCTGTGCTTAGAACCCACTCCATCTCTAAGACGAACAGCACCACAGTCACGACACCCTGATGAGCTAACGCAAACAAAAGACAAAACACAATAAAAATAGGAAGGGAGCACTTTACCACATTCAAAAAAAATAAAATAAAAAATACATGGAATTATGCTTTCACATATACTATTAATACAGTTCTTTTCAAATGTTTACACACATTTTTTTTTTCAAAATATAAATCACAATTATCCAAACACCACACTCCTAGATAATTCCTAGATTGTTTGCAAAATTAGATACTTCAGTCAAAACGTATACACATATTTGTGAAAATGCTATTAGTTTTCATTTAACCAACACAATCCTCAATGATCAGACACTATTGCAGTGATCAATAAAAAACACATTTATTTAAAAATAAAAAAATAAAAAATTGAAATAGCATGTGCTAGATTTTTGCCCAGACATTGTTATGGATAATTTAGATGAAAAAAAGAGACAAAACCATCTTGGATGCCCTTGAGGTAAGCTAAAACATATCAAAATTAATTTCAAAGTGAACTATTGTGTTTTAAAGAAGGTTAGCTAGCTGTTTCACACTAATGTCATTCTAAGCCATAATGACACACTGTGATTGAGAGCTGAATGTTCAGAGTACATATTGAAAAATAAAGTTGCCCTGCCTGCATATATATTGGTTTATACAGAACTGACTACAATTATGTACAAGGGTATTAAAGGATTAGTCGTCTATTGTTCTTTAGTTGCTGTTATAAGAATGGAAACGAAATATGAATCACCTGTATCTTTTAGAATAACACCCAAAAAGACCCCAAGTAATAAGCTAGTTATATTTACTTAAAGGATAGTTCACCAACTAAATATATATTATATAGTGTTTTGTTAGTCATACAACGAAATTCAGTGGGGTCCACAAAAGAAAGTAAGTCATACAGGATTGGAACAACATGAGGGTGAGTAATGACAGACTTTATATTCTTGGGTGAACTATCCATTTAAGGATTAAAATTGTTTAAAAAAAAAAAATCCCCCAAAAGACCAGACAATTTAGTAAATAGGCCTTTTTGCATGGTCATATGATTTATATTAAGTTAAGTTAAAAAAATACAAAATAAAAAAAAGAGATGTGACTCACCCAGATATGTTCGCGCAGGAGTCATCTGGTTGTAGTCCTCCGATAGGATAAACTCCTGGAAAGAGAAACTCCTGGCTTAATGAAGCTTAGGAATGTATCTTACAACCTGCTATAGACATTTTGCTACATAGAAAGGTGTGTGTAAGAATACTGCAGCAGTGCCACTTATAATGTAGTTGACGATAATAAATATTTAATGAACATACCGATACTGTGCCATTTTCCAACCCTGCAGAGATCCTCCTTGTCTCTGGGTTAAATGACATACATGAACAAGCCACTGCAACATAAGAAAGACATTGAATATGAGATTCTTCTATCTTACAAAATCCATCGATCGCTATTCAACTGTAAACATAAACCCTCTACTGACAGTCAATGACCTCTTAGCCATAGTCTGCCATAGTTAAGTAAAAAGCAAGCAAAACCGTGACATCATTGTTGAGAAATATAAAACTGCTGTCTGAACACGAACACAAGCAGAAGTTCATGCCCATACTGGTTTCACTTCACCTTTTTACTTTGATAGTAAAATTCCTGAAGTTATGTGGTTGCATGTCTCATAATGTTGAGATCTATGTAGCTGTTTTGGCTCTCAGAAAGCTGCCCAGGAACTGCATTGGACTCACCAGGCATTGTGTGATAGACACTGGGCCAGTACTGACCACTGTCCCTCTTCAGCCACACACGGATTGTCCTAAAAATTATAACAAGCAAGCAAATAAATGAATAATCTTGATTATAACATTTCATGTATATAGCAGAACCTTACTTAACAACATGACATGCAATACACTGCACACAAATTACCCGGACGGACAGCTCAGAACACGTCGGTGGCTAAGATAAACCCTGGCACCTTAATCACCAGACACAATAAGACTTCTAACTAAATTTGGTTGCCAAGTAAAAAACAAACAAAAAAAATATAACCAGGATAAGGGTTGCCAAAATCATTGGTGTTTCTTGAGTTTAGTTACTTTTTAAAGAAAAAGGGATACAATAAAATATGAAACACACACACAGCTCTTTAATCCATAAATCAAACAAAAAATCATACATATTTGATATGGTCATTTATAATTTTTACACTTTATTAATAGCCGTGAAACGAGACTGACAGCAATCGTACAAACAAAATTTCGTCTTTTTGTAATTCAAATCAGCCATTTTTTAATTATTTATTTTTTTCAGTGCTCTCTGATCATTTCTGACAGTCTTTAAACTGGCAGGAAAAGGTAGTCACGCGCTTCAGGGTTCACAAAATCGTTCACTTAAAAGATTCTCTTAAATAACGTTATTCGCCCGCGAACGATATAGCAGCTAAGTTACACAGAAAAGATCCGGCAATAGCCGACAGCATACAAACGGAGATCATCGATAGCAGCAGCTTAAATGAGCTTTAGTTAACGTTATGTGTTTGCATATTACAGCCTCATTATTATCATCCATTTGCTATGATAATAGGCTATTCTTTAGTCCTCCGAATTATTCAACCAAAACAAAAAACAGAATAAATCCATCATACAGGACACATAATTTATGTTTCAATGTATTATTGTGCGTGCCAGTGTACAGATTGTTGTATACATGACGTGTTTTGCGTATTCTGCATTGTAATTCTAGTAATTGCTTTGGGTTTCTAATCATACGCGTGCTGCTGACCTGTCTTGAGATACGCTGATAACCCCGTCCTCTTTGGGGATGATCACAGCCGTATTCACTACATCTTGGAAACCCTCGATCTTACTCAACAGGACGGGCTTTCGTGTCTGCGGACGGGGAATCTCTGCCGCCATGGCGCTGTAGTTTCTCCGTCACCTGAATCCACCTCTCTCGGCTGCATAACACGCTCGCTTAGCCTTAGCGCTGAGCGAGCGCAGGTCGATTAGACCTGCAGCACGGTAAAGCGTGACGAGCAGGGATGCTGCAGGTCAGCTGATTACCTCTCACACAATTTTTTGTTTAGTGAAACACGATCGCCATGTCATCTGAATAAGCGTGTTCTTCTCTCTCTCTGACCGTGTAAGACGATCCGACTTTTGAATGAATCGCAGATGCGTTTGCGATGTGCAGGGTTGACTCTGACGAATACCAAATGTGTAGAACAGGAAGTTGAACGTCATTCTTTTTTTCCCCACTTCATTGACATCGACATTTGTGAGAAAATAGGGAGTGATCCCATAAATTTCTGTTTATGGATGAAAAATTTACCAAATAAAATAAACAAATTAAAAATGTATTCTTTGGATGTGTGGGCATCAGTATAATAACAAATATATTTCAAATTAAAGGAGTGTGCATGGATGGGGGTTTTATTTAAATGAGAAAACATACTAGACCAAAATTTCTGAACCAATTTGCAAGAAAAAAATAAGTGTATTAAAGTTGCATCTTCGTCACCGCAAAACGAACAGGCACTGGAAATAAAAAATAAAATAAAAAACTGAAAAAAAAAAAAAAAAAAAACATCGACATTTGTAGGACATGATGAGCATCTTGTACAACGATGCAACTTGTACATTTGTTCAATACACAAGTATAATTAATTTAATTCTTTATGGTAGTTTAGTCTGTTTTCTTTTTTTCCTCAACATTTGTAAATATACTTTGGTTTTAACAATAAACAGTGAAAACTGTTCTATTTATAGTTCGGCTTTATCATGTGCGGACAGACATAGAATTGTTCATTCTCTTATCTCTACATGAAAGCCTGAACTAATAAGGATTCTCCCAGGTTTTTTATATCCCAAATCATTTGCAGGGTCTCGCTCGTTTGTTTTTTCTTTCATATATGAACACGACATCTTCTAAAAGTCTATTTGGCATTGACGTATTGCAGATGAGCAAACACTCTTAAAAATAGGCCTTCCAGTTAAAAATCACATCAAATAGACTTATGCTATCTGGGTATAATGGTAGTCCACGGCCACACCCCCATGCTAATGGTACTGCCCAGTGTGCAAATTACAAGACGAAATTAAAAAAAAAAAATCAGTTAGATTTCATTTATTCAAATGTTTGTTTCTGAAGTCACAATTTAGCACAAGCTTCCAAAGACCAACTACCAGCAAAAAACTAACATAGAACATGAATAAATGTATATCATGCAACAATAGCATGTCACATCTAATGTACTTCTATGCATACTGGAAAGGTGGGTAGGCTAAATGTAATATATAAATGAGTATAAACTGATTTTATCCAGCAAATCATTATTTACAGAAATGTAAAAATAAGTAAAAAAAAATATAAACTGTACCTTTAGTAGAGACTTAGAGGTTATTTGAATAAAAAAGCTATAAAGACTTAAAAAAAATTGAGAGAATTTGATAAATACTTTGTATTTACTTTTGTATTAGGTTTTTTTTTTTTTTTGATGCATGCATTTGAAATTACATATAATAACAATAAAAAAATCGAATGTTTACAAATGCGCATGCTCCCGTTGAGCTTCGTTTTTTGAGAATATGCTAATGTTTGATTTTCAGGTGCCAATCAGCTGAGGCGTTTGGACGCACGCTACTCGGGCAGGGCTTTGGAGGCGGAGTCAAGTGCTGAACGCAGAATAAAACCACTGGAGCCCGCGAGCAGATCTCAGAGTGAGGAGAGTCATGGACGTAAACTAAACAGAAAGTTACCATGATAAAAGTTAGGCATCTCTTTCAAATTACAACAACAACACCCGTTTCACTTGTAAATCAACAACCTTTCCCCCCCCAGGGTCTGAGGTTTGCTCAAGTTTACAAGGCATCGATCTTTCAACATTAACTACAGTTAACGTTACACTCTGACAGAAAGAATGCGCGAGACAGTTAGCATTAGCCGGCTAGCAGCGTGCTGACAGCAGCGACAAGCGGCGAACAAAAGATTTCTCGGCATTTGTCCGCTTGCATTGACACTCGGTCCATGTAGAAGGGACGATTATCAACACAATGCCAGTGTTACTTTTTTTGATAGACACGTCCGCCTCCATGAACCAGCGCTCCCACTTGGGCACTAGCTATCTGGACATAGCGAAGGGCGCAGTTGAGACTTTCCTGAAGGTAAATTTATACACGTCTATGCTCCACATTCGTACTTTACTGAAAAATTATTTAAAAATCTACGTTTCCATCCACTTTTCACAGCTGAGGAGCAGAGATCCGGCCAGCAGGGGAGACAGATACATGTTAGTGAGTTTCGAGGAAGCGCCGGCAGGAATAAAGGTACAAACTCCTTTATTTATTTCCAAACCTATTTTGTTTCACTCCAGACACTTTAATCATTCACTTCGTCTATTTGCTTGTCAAAACACCACGTCTAAATTTGTGGTGTGAAAACATTCTGCCCAGCATGAATTTGTGTGTTTAAACATGGCCGACATTTTGTTCAGTGTGGCAGCAGAGAGTTTTGTGTGTGTGTGTGTTTGTGTTTGAGGAAAGAGAGATGGGGGACTAACTTAGTTTTATCACCCAGAGAGAGGACTCTCTACTCTACATTATTGCCTCAGCCATTTTCAGATAAACGTGTTTGCCTGAAGGGATGTGATGTGAGGATCTCTTTAAAACTTAACTAATCATTTCACTTTGACTTGATATTTCAGGCAGGATGGAAGGACAGTCATGCCACTTTCATGACCGAGCTGAGGAACCTGCAAGCAGTTGGATTGACATCGTTTGGCCAGTCTTTAAGGACCTCTTTTGATTTGCTCAATCTCAATAGATTAGTTTCGGGGATAGACAACTATGGACAGGTATGTTATAAACCAGGGACTGGTATAAAGTCTGTGGCCTAACCCCATGAGCCCATCCCCAACATCTCACAGTTATACAAGCACCCAATAGGCTCACACTGTGCCAACACAATCCCAAGGGCCCCTCTTGACACTGTAGAAATATGTAAACTGCATTGTGGATGCAAATAAGGGTGGTGACTAGCTGAAGTGCAACCTTGATTATGCTGTGAAAGTGTACTCTAGTTAAAATTGTTCCAGGTTGTGTTGTTTTAGTTTATTGGTTGTAAACACAAAATTCACAGAAATTTTCTAGAGGACAGTTCTTGTATTTCTGCATGTTGAGCTGGGAAAATGCAACGTATGCAACATTTTCCCACACAGATTTAGTGTTTTTTTTGTTTTTCTTTTTCTTTGTAGTAGTAGTTGGTTAAACTCAGGGTTTTGAGTTGACAACCAAAACTATCTGGTTATTCTTTGTTTGTACCATTACACTGATCATCTACTTCCTCTCCACTGAATTTGATCCTGAGTTCATGGAATTTGTTCACATTAAAGTGATATTAGTAGTGCATTTAAACTAAATGCATAATCGTTAAACTAAAAATTGTTGTGTCTAATGGATTAAAGGGGTGGTTCAGGATTTTGGACATCGGGCCTCATTTCTAAGTTTGCCTTAGTGTTATTTACTTAGTGTTCCTAGAGGACAAACGCATAACAGAACAAATGAAAATCACCAATACATGCACATGTAACAAGTGGAGACAGTTTAAAAAAAAAATTCCATCTAGTCGTTCCAGTTGTATAGTTTGCCGGTACTTGGATAGCGCGTCAGTGGTAACTCCTAGCCTGCTATTAAAAAGTTTTATCCATTCAACAGTACACCAAAAGCAAATAAATTATAATGCTTGACAGACTATTGATATAAATATCTGTTCAGAGAATAATGTTAAAACAAACTACCCTTTTTTTTAGCAGTCTACAGCAGCAGCGGCGTGATATGTAGTTACCTAGGCAACTGAAAGAGGTAGTGAGAGAATTATCGCTATACATTTACAGGAACTAGTTTCTCTGCAGCAGCGCAATTTTACTTTTCTCCGGTTAGTAAAAAGTAAACACCGAACTGAAGCGTGCTACAGTCGGAACTACCTTTACTACCTCTCTCACTACCTCTTTCGGTTGCCTAGGTACATATCATGCTGCCGCTGCTGCTGTTAAAAAAGGGTAGTTTGATTTCTAACATTATTCTGTTTACAGGCGTTATAATTTTTTGCTTTTGGTGTACTGTGGAGTGGGTAAAACTGTTTTTACTGGCAGGCTAGCAGTTACCGTTGACTCACCCTAGCCTAACACCTGCGAACTATGCAACTGGAACGATTGGATGAGAATTTTTAAAAACTGTCTCCACTGATAAATAATACTAAGGCTAACTTGGAAATGATGCCCGATGTCCACAATTTGGAACCATGTGTTTAAGGGTATAATAATTATATAAATCATAAAAAAATAATTATGATCATCACTAAAAGCCAGATGATTTTGTCTTAAATTTTTTCTGTGTAATTACCTTTTTATTTGGAGCAAGAGAAACTGGGAGAGTGACTTTATTGCATCAGAGCTGTCACTTTGCTCACAGCTGATTGGTCGGCAAACCTTTGGGTTTGCGATGTCTTAGCCAGAAGAACATATCATTCTTCGGTTATGTCATGTGTGCTAATATAATACTACTACGACGTAAGAGCGTCAAGGCGGCACCCGCGCTATCAGCCAATGGATTGGCGTGATTCTATATGGGCTTCAGACAAACGGCACACTTACTGACGCGTTATTTTACGTGTGAAATGCAGCCAAACCTTGGAGCGTTTTGTCTTCGGCATCTTAATAGGCTATATGCCCAGCTGCACTACTTCCTGAACTTCAGCCAGCTCCTTGTTTCCTGTCTGCTATTATTGGCCAAACTTGATTAATTCAGGTGTGTCTGATTATTGTTGCCTTGACTACTGAGGACAAGCTCACCTGAATTAATCAATTTGGCCAATAATAGCAGACAGGAAACAAGGAGCTGGCTGAAGTTCAGGATGTAGTGAAGCTGTGCATATAGCCCATTAATCCCCTCGCTATCAGACGTTCCGGGAGTCTCCCGCATATTGAAAATGGCACTGATCTGTGATGGGTCTGTTAGCGCATTAGGTCCAACCCCCTATGGGCGGGTTTGAAAGGGTGGGAACTAGTGCTTGTAGTCTTTACAGAAATCCCCCCTCTTACACTTCCTCCTACAATGACATAAAATGACAATTTTTGCGACATTGTAGGATGAAGGGAAAAAAGTAAATAGTGGGTTTCTCTCATCTCTGGGAAAAATGAGTATTACACGACCATTCAATAGTATGACTGGATTTCTAACAATGGAAATCTTAATGCAAATGGGTTGATTGTCCCTTTAAGAAATGACATCCATAAAATATGCTCTGTGCTGAAGATACAATTTAATCTAAACATTGAAAGAGCAGAGCATTTAACTGATTGAGTATATATTATTTTATCAGTGCATAGAGGTCATATTTTAGATTTGTATAATGAAGTCAATGTGTTAACATCAAAAAGTGTGGTTGTATGAAGCAATGCCTTTGTGTAATTGGCTCGCTAGTTTTTTTTTATATTATTATTTTGTCTTGTGTTTTGCAGGGTAGAAACCCTTTTTTCTTGGAGCCAGCTATCATTTTGGCCATAACTGATGGGACCAAGCTGACCAGCAGTTCTGGGGTGCAAGATGAGGTGGGTCATATGTCAGTATGGGCTGGACTTGAGGGCTCATGATAACACCCTGTCTAGTCGTGGGTTTCCTATTTTTCTTTTGTGCTTGCTATCCCCTTCTTGTTTTTCCCCCCACTTAAATGTGTTCCTCTTGATAAACACTCACCTAAAGGATTATTAGGAATGGCTGTTCAATTTCCCATTAATGCAATATCTAATCAGCCAATCACATGCCAGTTGCTTCAATGCATTTAGGGGTGTGGTCCTGGTCAAGACAATCTCCTGAACTCCAAACTGAATGTCAGAATGGGAAAGAAAGGTGATTTTAAGCAATTTTGAGCGTGGCATGGTTGTTTGTGCCAGGCGGGCCGGTCTGAGTATTTCACAATCTGTTCAGTTACTGGGATTTGCACGCACAACCATTTCTAGGGTTTACAAAGAATGGTGTGAAAAGGGAAAAACTTCAAGTATGCGGCAGTCCAGTATGCGGAAAATGCTAGAGGTCAGAGGAGAATGGGCCGACTGATTCAAGCTGATAGACGAGCAACTTTGACTGAGATAATCACTCGTTACAACCGAGGTATGCAGCAAAGCATTTGTGAAGCCACAACACACACCACATTGATACAGATGGGCTACAACAGCAGAAGACCCCAACGGGTACCACTCATCTCCTCTACAATTTGCAAGAGCTCACCAAAATTGGACAACTGAAGACAAGAAAAATGTTGCCCGGTCTGATGAGTCTCAATTTCTGTTGAGACATTCAGATGGTAGAGTCATAATTTGGTGTAAACAGAATGAAAACATGGATCCATCATGCCTTGTTACCACTGTGTAGGCTGGTGGTGGTCGTGTGGTGGTGTAATGGTGTGGGGGATGTTTTCTTGGCACACTTTAGGCCCCTTAGCACCAATTAGGCATCGTTTAAATGTCACAGGCTACCTGAACATTGTTTCTGGTCATGTCTGTCCCTTTATGGCCTCCATGTACCCATCCTCTGATGGCTGCTTCCAGCAGGATAATGAACAATGTCACAAAGCTCGAATCATTTCAAATTGGTTTCTTGAACATGACAATGAGTTCACTGTACCAAAATGGCCTCCACAGTCTTCAGATCGTGCCTGGATGTGCATCCCACAAATCTCCATCAACTGCAAGATGCTATCCTATCAATATGGGCCAACATTTTTAAAGAATGCTTTCAGCACCTTGTTGAATCTATTCCACATAGAATTAAGGCAGTTCTGAATGCGAAAGGGGGTCAAACAGTATTATTATGGTGTTCCTAATAATCCTTTAGGTGAGTGTAGTTTGTGCCTTCCTTTCCATATCTATCTTTCATTGTTCTCTTTAACAGTATGACTTGTAGCTCTGTAAAAGTAAAAAGTCTCTAGCTTGTAAAATGAGAAATATATCTTAAGTCAGTGTCTCCTACAGGAGTTTCTTCCCCCAGGGATTTTTTCGTTTATGTGCTGACATGTGAATTAATTCATCCTTTTTCTCTGCTCCAGTTGCATTTACCTTTGACAACACCATTGCCTGGCAGTGAGCTGACCAAAGAGCCCTTCAGATGGGACCAGCGACTCTTCTCTTTAGTGCTCCGCATTCCAGGCCACTCCTCTCCTGACCCTGAACCATTGGGTGGAGTTCCTCTTGACTCTTCTCCTATTACACCCATGTGTGAGGTCACCGGGGGTGTGTATGCGTTTTTACCTATTTTAGTGAAAATTTTATCACAGAAAGACAAAGGTGTAGAATAGAAAAGGTAATGGACTGCATGTTAAAAGTGAACTCAAATTAAAGCGCAACATCGTCGATTTTCCATCTGCTTTTTGTTACAATGTCTGTAGTATATATAAAAATCAATAATCAGGGCTTGCCATTAAGCCTTTTCATGTGCTTGTCCTTCGGACAAGTAAATTTGTCATTCAAGTGTCTTTTTTTTTTTTTTGGAAATACGTTCATTTTACAACTCCCCCAAAATTAAACTGTTGAGCTTTACCTTTTTTGAATCCATTCGACCAATCTCCGGTTCTGGCTGTACCACTTTTAGCATAGCTTAGCATACATCATTGAAGTGCACAAGACCATTAGCATTTCTCCCAAAAAAATTACCAAAGTGTTTCGATATTTTTCCTATTTAAAACTTGACTCGTCTATAGTTACATCGTGCACTAAGACAGATGGAAAATGTAAAGTTGTGATTTTCTAGGCTGATATGACTAGGAACTATATTCTCATTCCTGCATAATAATCAAGAAACTTCACTGCTGTACCATGAGTGCAGCAGGCGTAATGATTACACAAACTTAGTCCCGGTCACGTTGGAAGCTGGGCACTATTTCAGGGGTTGCGTCATAACATTACATTATTTAATTATAGTTCAAATATTTGTGGTCATGTTAGTTTGCAGTTCATTAACTAATGTTAACAGATTAACAACTTTGGATCTTAATGTCTTTATAAAATGTTGAGCTTAACGTTAATTAATTAAGATTGATAAATGTTGTAGAAGTTTTGTTCATTTAATTGTTGGTTCATGTTAACTAATGCTAACAAAATGACCTTATTATAAAGCATTACCATGTTTAAATGAAGTTGTCCAATCAAGTGTAAAATTAATGATAAAAGTTAAGGAATCTTACACTGGTTCAAAATAGGCTACTGTATTGGATATGCTTGATTTATGTTGAAGTCTTTGGGACATTGCTTTTAATAGTAAGCCTATTGTTTGTTATCAAAGTATATCCATTTTAGACTATTTTATCAATTTAGAGTGCAAATATATTGGTTATCAACTTTCAAATGTAAAGAAAATGGGTTATCGGTATCGGCCAAAACTTTCATATCGATGCACCCCTACATTTAAGCACTCAAGTTAAATCTCACGTCAGATGCAATTGAACTGTTTTCCCGCTCTGTTTAGGCCGCTCGTACAGCGTGTTTTCCCAGAGAATGCTAAACCAGTGCCTGGAGTCTCTGGTGCAGAAGATCCAGAGTGGTGTCGTCATCAATTTTGAGAAAAATGGACCTGATCCTCCTCCAACTGAAGGTAAAGGAGGACCAGGCTTGTATAGTTTTCAGAAGTATTGCAGTGAAGCACCTATTAATAATAAATCTAATTATTAATTGATCATAAATACAATCAAACTGTAATTGTGAAATATAAACGTTTTTTAACTATGCAAAATTAACTGTCACTTTTGATAAATGTAGTGCTCCTTGCTGACATTTTTTTTTTATTAATTTCTTTCTCAACGCAAAGAAAAAAATCATACCCCAAACATTTGAATAAAAATTTCAAAATAAGCCATTATTAATGAAACAACTGTTTGTTTTATCCAGATGGTCCAGCAGAGATGAAATATGGACCTCAATCATGGCACAGTTGTCATAAGTTGATCTATGTCAGACCCAACCCTAAAACTGGTGTTCCTGTTGGCCATTGGCCTATCCCAGAGTCCTTTTGGCCTGACCAGAACTCTCCTACTTTGGTGCGAGAAAAATGTTTCAATTTTTGTATCCTGGACCATCTGTTCAGTCCTTTTTATATTTAATGTAATGTGTATATGCTCTAGGTTTTTCTAGTGTAATGCAAATGATTGTATACAAGTAATTGAAATATATATAATTTTTATTATGACTATTGTTTATTTTATTACTCTTGAGTTGCCATGAACATAAACTTTACTGATGTTGTTAAAGCTGCAGTCGGCAAGTCTGGGAGATTGAGTGGACTTAGGCAAAAAATTTTATTGTTTACAACTCTCATGCCCCTCCCCACTCTCAACGAATACCCTCCCAAAGAGTTTGTTAGAAGCGGATTATAGTGTCGATTTTACTGAATATGATCAAAAACATTTTGCCGACGGCAGCTTTAAATGATAAAAACTGTAAATTTTCTAGTGAAATGTAAACTTGTAAGTGTGCTGTCTGCTCAGTTGCCTGTGTTCCTCTACAGCCTCCACGTGCATCCCACCCACAAGTAAAGTTTTCATGTGTGGATTCAGAGCCCATGGTGGTTGATAAAGTGCCCTTTGACAAGTATGAGCTAGAGCCCTCCCCGCTCACTCAGTATATACTGGAGAGGAAATCACCGCACACCTGCTGGCAGGTACTGCTAAAATCAATATTTTAGTGCTATACATGCTAATCGGGGAACATGTATGTTCACTCAGGGTACTTTCACACTTTGCCTGGTCTGAGCTAGAGTTTATTTGCTCCCTCCGCCCTCGCTGGATTGTTCACATTATAATATTTGTGTCTGAACTGTGGTGCATTTTCATAATCAATGCAGCTGCTGTTTACCCCTTTTGCTTAGTCACACTTGTCAGGAAAATGAGTGAGCAATAGTTAATTTTGTCAGCTTTTTTATTTCATCTTAGTATTTTTCCTGTTAAATGTACTTTTTAGTTTTTATCATATTTAGTCAACTTTTGTCCTTTTTTTTTGTCCTGTAACTTTTTTTTCACCATGCTGTATAATGGTTAAACTGAAAGCATAATTATAATCACAAAGATTGTTGTCATTTGAAGAATGTATTTTTACATTACATCATAATTATTCTCTTGATTTGTACATATGGTGCAAGTGCAATGTTAACTCTTTTTGTTCATTGTAGACTATTTTACCTCATCTAGTGTACTTATTCATTGTACCATCAGATATGTATCATATCAATTAACACTCTGTGTCTGCTTTAAGAAAACTGGTAAAACAAGAAACTCAAAAATGAGAACAGTGAAATCCTTAATAGTAGTTTCAATAATTCCAATAGTGCTAGTGTGAAAGCACCCTCAGAATTACTAACTTGCACCTCTACAATGGCTGAACATTTATTGCTGTGACGTTTTATTCTCTCTCAGGTTTTTGTGTGTAATAGCGCTAAATACGGGGAACTCGGGCAGCCATTTGGCTATCTGAAGGCCAGCACAGCTCTAACCTGTGTCAACCTATTTGTCATGCCCTATAACTACCCTGTGGTGCTGCCTTTGCTTGGTAAGCGTCATTATTAACATCTCAATTATCATAATTTGACACTATATTTGGTTTTGTATTTTCTTTGATTGTTGATGGATTTAAGTTTTATAACTGTTCATCATGCATTTATAGATGACTTGATTACTGTACACAAGTTCAAGCCTCCAGCGAAGTGGCGACAATCTTTTGAAAACTATCTAAAAACAATGCCACCCTACTACATCACTGTAAGTAATGGAATCACTCATGCTCATTTTAACGTTACGAAAGTAAATTTAAATTATTTTTTCTTCATCTTGATTCTTTCAGGCCCTGCGGAAAGCACTAAGAATGATGGGAGCTCCAAACCTGTTGGCTGACAACATGGAGTACGGCCTCAGCTACAGTGTTGTGTCGTATCTCAAAAAGCTCAGTCAGCAGGTGTGTACTAATATAGCTTGTTTTTAAAGGCTTTGTTCTTAAAAGTGCTTTATGAAGTTATGAATTATTAAATTGTGTATATTACAGACGAAGGTCGAGGCAGACCGAGTTTGTGCATCAGTTGGGAAAAAGGCGGTGCCAGAAGGTGGGATTAAACTTCGCTGCAGAAGCTCCGCCGTCTCTCTGGCCCACAGAAAGGATTTCACACAGCTGCTACAAAGTATCATAGGAGATGGGCCAGCTCTGCCAATGGAGGCAAACACCAAGGAGTTTGCCGGCTTTCAATTAGCTGCTCTGAATAAAGTGCGTCCATGTACACTACTGCACACTTTGTAGATGTTTTGTGCTGTTTTCATGTGCTCAAGACCAGGAGATCCACAAATACATATGATCTCTCTGAATTTAAATCAAGTCAGTGTGAGATTAATGTTTAAAAGGCTGGAATTGACTGAGTGTTTTTAATGTATATATGGAACATGATTTTTAGAATCACATTTTTTTGTGCATAACCAACTTTTCAACAGGGTGTTGTTCAGCAAATTTTCAGTGGTTAGTTCAGATCCCTCATCACCAATTTGGATCCCTCATATTTTTCATTATTCTATTTGACAACACAGGCATTAAAACCACAAGGATTGCGGAACCCCTATGATATCCCAAGAGCTCATCTGCTGGACCAGCTGAGTCGCATGAGGCGGAACCTCCTGCATTCTAGCATCTGCATTCTGAAAGGACAAGATCAAGGTAATGCTCAGACAGCCATAAATGCTTATTGATTTCCACTGAGCAGTTTTTTTTTTTTTTCAATGTCTGGACGATTCTGTAAATTACATTTAGTTTGATTTCTGAAAGTACTGCAAGCCTTTAACTTCAATCTGAGATATGATAAGGTAAATTTCATGATGCCGTTTATATGGTCATTTTTAAACATTATTTATGTAACTTTTTTCTAGATCAGCTTCACAGTGTGCCTATAGCTCAGATGGGCAACTATCAGGACTTCTTGAAGCATTGCCCGGCCCCTCTGAGAGAGGCAGACCCCGATCAGCCTAAACGTCTGCACACTTTTGGTAACCCCTTCAAATTGGACAAGAAGGTAATTTTAGATCTCAGGCTTTCAAAAAGAAGCCCTACATAGATTTGAATTTCAGGCAAATAGCACTTTTTCTCTTCTCTTCATGTCAGGCGATGATGGTGGATGAGGCAGATGAATTTGTTACTGGCACTCAAGGCAAAGGCAAACGTCCTGGAGAGTCCAGTAGTCCTGCTGGGGTAGGGGCCCCCAAACGCAGGCGCTGTATGTCTCCACTGCTTCGGCCGGGACGGGCATATACACCTCCCAAAACACCACCCAGAAGTAAGTAATTAATAAACTCATGCAGAAAAAAAAACTTTAGTAGCAGGTGTGACAATCATCCAACTTAATTCTGGTTCCTTGGTGTCTAAAACATGGAAGCTCCAATTTTACTTGTGCATGTTTCATGTCTGATCCAACACAGCAGCAGATAACGATTGCACAGAATTGGAAAACCTCATCACCAACCATTTCGAGTCAAACAACAACAACTCTGACAAGGAGCTGAGTCCTGTGCCAGAGTCTGAACCAATCGAGCAAAGAAACAACCTTCAGTTGGATGAGATTGAGATCCAGCAGGACAGAGTTCAGGAAAACGGTCAATCCAGCGAGAGCGAGCTCTCTCTGGGCAGTGAGGGTGAAGAGGAAGTCCCGTGCCGCTACCCTTCCCCCTGCCAGCTGAAGAAACTCAGAAACGAAGAGAGCCAGGAGCTAAACTCTGAACTCCGAGTGCTCATCACCAAGGAGATCCGGAAACCTGGAAGACGTAAGTAACAACACGTGCAGATGTATGTAACTAAACACTGCTCAAGTAAAGTGTTTCCATCATTTCCTCTCTAAATGCTCTTTCCTGGATGGCGTCCAGTGAGCGAAGGAGGGGTGGTCTCCCACCAATGCTTTGTCTTGTGAAATCCACTGGACATGTTGGCTTTTGCTAAATGTGAAAATCTGTAATATTACAGCTGGGTTCCATTTTGTTCTTTTTATTTGTAGATTGTACAGTATTACCGGTCTTCATTTGTTCCAGTGGTTTTACAATTATTTTTGGACATTGCTCATGACACCATACATCAAATCTTTTTACCTCCCCAACCCCCCGTCCTTAACGCAGGTTATGAGAAAATCTTCTACCTCCTCAAGCAAATCCAGGGCAGTTTGGAAACACGTCTGATCTTCCTGCAAAGCATAATCAAAGAGGCTGCCAGGTAAAATCCTTTCTCCAGATTCAACATTTTGAACTAGATTGACTACATATTGGGATTTGTATAAAGAGTAAGGCCCAAATACACATACAATATGATATACTTGAAGTGTAGGATAATTAAATTTTTTAAGAATGCATAGAATGCATGGAGCCAGATTTTACACTGTACGCTCAGTTCAAATGCACCTTGAATTTTTTTTTGCCACTAATCATTTGGTCCACAAGGTGGCAGCACTGGATTCACAGTCAAAAAAGAAACAGACAGAACAACAAACTACTAGAGACGCAACAATAGGTGCATGCATTTCCTGCGTTTTACTCCACATTTAGACATACATTTGCAAACTTCTCCAAGTACTTCCTGGTGGAATCCCAGCCACCATTTTGATTTTGCTTTCAACTTCTAGTGGACAAGGGAAGTTTATTTAGACCCTCGATTCTGACTGGGGGAGCAAGTCTACTGTACTCGTGTGCACTTCATGCAGATCTATAGATAACAATACAACACAACTGTGACCTTTCCAACAGCAACTCTCTTTGATCGTACTTATTTTACCCAGAAGTGATCAATCGCTTAGGGCATTATAATTAATCATATTGCAAGGGTTCCACCAGTAGTGGGCACTTGTGCTGTGTAAGCAATGACTTAAATCTGAGAAATGGACTTGCATGCATGCATCCATGCATACATACAAGTTGATTTTTGTTTTTGTTTTAATTGGTCAACTTGTGGAGATGAAGCAAGGATGAAGCTTTCTGGTGTGCATGTTTGTGTGCTATCAAAAGTAGTGTACTTTCAGTACATGTTTGCTGCACATATGCACTTGCAATGCATTAAGCCATAAAAATGATGCTTCTATTCTATTAATTAATCTAATTACTTAGTATGTTTGTTTGTGTGCATAGGTTTAAGAAGAGGGTCTTGATTGAGCAGCTGGAGAACTTCTTAGAGGAGATTCACTTAAGAGCCAACAGCATGAATCATCTGGACGGTTTCTGAGCACTCCATCTGCCCTATTTGAAATACTCGCACACAGATCTGCACTATTTATGTAACGTTACTTGGGACTTGTGTGTCTCCAGTTTTTATCAGTATTGAAGCTGATTTTATTGATGAGGACTTGATGGGTTGTCTTTAAACCTCAGGACTGGGGGGATATGGGAATGTTTCTGTCAGATGGTCATAAACGCACTGCTCCTTTTCTTTTTCTTAGACATTATTTCCTATCTAATTGTGCCAAAGAGAACTGGTTGAATGGCATCAGATTCCGCCTCATCTCATTTGCTTTTTTGTTTTCTCCTCCCAGTTCCCTGTGACATTCTGACACGTGGCACTGATCACCAATGTGTTTTCAAATTTAGTTTCAATCAAGAATAGAGTTTGGAAACTCACTGCTGCATTCAGTTTCAGACAAGATTATTTACTGGAAAGTAGATCTTTATCAGCAATATTCTTCTCCAATTAAAAGGCGAGTTACAAAGCAATTCTTTAATGTTGGAGGTTCGAGTGACTGAGGTTTTATAATTAAATGTAGTCTTGTACACTCCGGAAAGCATTGTTTATTATAAATTAAAATCTCAGGAATGATGTTGCAAAAGATTTAGCTTTTGGCAGTAGAGGAACATCTTTCTGAAGTTTTGTTTGCCTGAAAATCTAAAAAAGCTCTTATCTATTAAAAAAAAAAGTTACTTTTTTTTTTTTTCCATTCTTAAGCCACCCATAATTATTCCACCTGGCTTCGATAACGTTGCTTCTAGCAAAAGAGGTTTATATCATGGTGTTCAGAACACAGAACCATGGCAAATTTATGTGAATAAGTAAGGACTAGAAGTAACAGGAATATAAATTTTTATATCTTTGCTGAAAATGCAAATGACAGTTCTGCATTAAGTGACAAAATTTGATTTACAAAAGTAACAACCAGAAGGATCTAATGAAATGATGTAAAGTTGATATTTAATCATCCATGATAGTCAAGAGCCACTTACTCATTGACATGGGAAGTTGCTGCTAATGTATTCCTACTTGACTGCCAAATTTTCAGTATCCCTTAGCTTTTTTTGGATTTTTTTGTGTCTCACCCTCCTAACCCTGCACCCTGTAGGGACCAAATCTTCATCATAAATGTTATAGATAAGTCTGTGGCTTATTAAAAAGAAAAAGTATTTTATTATACTGTATATTTGTACATAGTGACATTGAAAAATATTATTTAAGAGAATGTTTTGGTGGAAAGCCTTTTTTTTGTATGTATTTGAATAAAGTCTATTTTACACTGTGAATAGTCATGTAAATAAGTGACATTTTTCTGTCATTAAATTCTCAGTGGCACAATGTCATTAAAAGGATTGCAAATCTTACCATGTTCAGTGTTTTGTTTTTTGTTTTTTGTTTTTTTTTCCTCCCCATACACTTACCCATAAGTTTGCAGGGAATCAAAGTGGCTCATTTCAATTTATTTTTTTCTTCTATCACTTAACCACGGATCTTAAAGGGTTAGTTCACCCAAAAATGAAAATTAAGTCAGTAATTACTCACCCCCATGCTGTACTAACCCCGTAAGACCTTCATTCGTCTTCGGAACACAAATGAAGATATTTTTGATTAAATTTGAGAGCTGTATAACTACCACATTGGCTCCTAAGGGACTGCCTCTTGACGGCCCAGAAAGTCAATGAAGAAAATGTTTAAATATCCCAAGTGACTACCGTGGCTCAACTATATGTTTATCAAGCGACGCAAATACTTTTTGTGCGAAAAAACAAACAAAAATAACGAGTTTATTCGACTATTTCTTTTCTTCCTTGTAGGCCAGAAACGAGACTTACTTAGATTTCCACGACGCATGCGCGAGAATTGCGATCTGCTCACACCAGCTTACACTACTTCAGATCGCAATTCTCGCGCATGCGTCATGGAAATCTAAGGAAGTCTCGTTTCTGGCCTACAAGGAAGAAAAGAAATAGTCGAATAAACTCGTTATTTTTGTTTGTTTTTTCGCACAAAAAGTATTCGCGTCGCTTGATAAACGTATAGTTGAGCCACGGTAGTCACTTGGGATATTTAAACATTTTCTTCATTGACTTTTTGGGCCGTCAAGAGGCAGTCCCTTAGGCAGCCAATGTGGTAGTTATACAGCTCTCAAATTTAATAAAAAATATCTTCATTTGTGTTCCGAAGACGAACGAATGTCTTACGGGGTTAGTACAGCATGGGGGTGAGTAATTAATGACTTAATTTTCATTTTTGGGTGAACTAACCCTTTAACTTAATTTTGCGGGTACATGCAACAGACTTTACCTCTTTCCGTGTTTTTCACTTTTATTCGGTAGGGGGCACTGTGATATCTTCTGAAAGAGTACTGAACCTCTTGAACAAAACACGCAAAGAAGCAGATCAAGCAGAAAAGATCAGCTGTCATCCACATAATAGAGATTAGAGACCATAGATATCCATAATAAAGGCTGGCCAATAGAGGTCAACGTCCATACCTGGTGGCCATCTTGTCACAGCCAGCTCGCTCACTCGTAACATCGCGTTTTAATGGTGATGGTAATTTATATAACCATAACTTACTCAATTTTTGACAGATTTTCAAACGGTTTGGTTTATGTCAGAGATGTTGTTATGACACTGCATAATTATGAATAATAAGTGTATCAATAAATAATCATCCAGATTAAATCCTCCAAACCAAGAGTATTTCCCAGATAGCAGAACAATGTCGATTCAATGTTGTTTCGATGTCATGAGAAATGTCGTTTCCACGTTGATTTATTCAGTTTGCTACCTGGGTTGTGTTCGTGCTGCACACATCACAGGACAGCTTTCGTAGACCAGCTTTCCTGCTATGTAGACCAGAGCATTTTCCACCAGGTGATCATCACGTCAATCACATCCTTTCAGTCTGTCTGTTTCAATGTAATGTTAGATTGAACAGACACAAATGCCTAATAAAATGGACATTGTGAAACTTAAGTAACTGGACAAGACTCTTCTTACCGACACCTCCACTAATCTCAAACCAGCCACCCACACCTCCCTCAAAACTCCTTTTCACAAACTATTCTACAGACAGGTGTTCTTTCAAGTAAATGACATGAGAGGTATCTGTCTTTTGTTAAGGTTAATTAAATGTGAACATGGTGTTAGGCAATTTACTTGGGAATTGTAACTTATCTAAGCTGCCGTGAGTTTCCCTACACAAAAGCTACCACCTAGTCAAATGTAGCAAGCTAAATACAAACACAGCAGTAGGCTAGTTCACTACAAGGAAGCTACTTTATATTTCGCTAATTTTCCATGATAAGAAAAGTAGCCTGTGTGGCCAAGCTAACTGTTACTTGATAAATTTGTTAGGCTACTGAATTGGCTTTATGCCCAGCTGCACTACTTCCTGAACTTCAGCCAGCTCCTTGTTTCCTGTCTGCCATTATTGGCCAAATTGATTAATTCAGGTGTACCTGACCTCAGTAGTCATGGCAACAATAATCAGACACACCTGTCCTGAATTAATCAATTTGGCCAATAATGGCAGACAGGAAACAAGGAGCTGGCTGAAGTTCAGGAAGTAGTGCAGCTGGGCATAAAGCCCATTGACTTGATTCAGGAAATAGTGAAGCAACCTCCAAAATACTAAGCAACAAATGACGCTGCATTCACGTGCTATGGAAAATAGGATATTTTCCACTTGTGAACTGGTATTTACCAGTGTGTTGCGTTCAAGTGCTTTTGTTGTCGTAATGTGGTAAAAAGATGGAGATCCATTCCAGACCTGTTATTTAGCTAAAACTATTTTAGATTGCTTAAGTCATCTGCAACAGCATGATTTATCAAAACTCAAATGGTAAATAATATGATAATGTATCTTCTAGATCATGTATAGTATATATTTTTACCATTCACGACTCTCGCGGTGCTCTCCGCCATTTTGAAATGGTCAAAGGTTATCTCATCTTAGCAACTCGTCCATCAAAATATTCTACGAGTTGCCCAGTGGTAAATGCCACATGTGGGGGTGTTCATGTGCATTTTCCACGTCGGCTTTTGATATTTACCATAATTACCATAGCACATGAACGCACCAGCAGTGACTGCCCAACACTGTTAACACAGTCTGTGCCACTTGTGTAAAATTTGCAGGCCAATGTTATACCAGTAATATTTCTACAATAGCATTCTTGTGTCAGTTGTAATCTAAGTCAGTGTTATGGAATATGACTTATCAAATCTCAGTTCTTAGCCGGGTGAACAATGACTGGTGCAGTAAACTTAGCTTAGCTACGATTTCAGTACAGTAATATCAAAGATCCTTGCTCCTTCTCAACTCTCTGGTGATATTCTATTCACAAAATATAACCAGTAGTACGGTAATGTTAAATCTTACTTGTGAAAAGTAATCCCTCGAGCCCTATTTGTGATGGTCTGCCAATTTGAACATGAATATGCTGCTCAGTGCTCTGGCATCTTAACTTAGGAGTATGACCGGTTAAAGATGGCGGACGCTTTTCTTGCGCCCAGCAGCTAATAGGACGTCTAACTCTATACTATGTCTATACTGTCATCGACATTAAACAGCATATAAATCAAAACTGCCGAATGTTATTGAAGGAAATTTTGACCCAGAACGAAATTTTAACTGTATGCTACAGCTTTAGGAGGTCTTGAGGGACTCGATTTACACCATCTATAATATTTTGATTGTGCCATCCAGATGAAGTCTTGATGATTTTCTCATGTTTTTGCACAAAATTGCATCTTTTTTGCATCTTAAATGGCACATTGTGATCCAATAGCCTTTTTACTTTTTTCTTGCGTGAAAGCAGCACTTTGTATAAAAAAATAAATAAAAAAATCAGTAACTGATGGTAACCAAACATTTCCATCAGAAATGAGGAAATACTGAGGGCAGTGGGGGAAAAATGACAGTAGACACTGTGAAGTGCAAAAAACCCTGATGTATTAAAATTTTATTTACAAATATGTACAAAAGTCTCGTCCCTCTTCCTGAAGTGTCAGTGGACCCTCCTAATGGTCCTTAAATATTCCTCTCACCACACCAACCATTAAGGAGGAGGGGTGTGTGGAGTCATGGTAATATACTTCATGATTTTGCCAAGTGTGAGTGTGTGTTCATAATTTGAAGCAGTTGTGATTGCATGGATCTTTTCAAGACATCTCAGCTGGATTCAGAACCCGACCTATGAACAGCAACGAACCTGTGGAATAAAAGTCCACAAATTAATTTTCAAAACAGTAAGATTTGTTATGAAAGAAATGAATACTTTTTCATCAAGGACTCATTAAACTAAATACATTACAATTCATGGAAGAATTGTGAAAAATATATTATAAATTATTTTTTAATAAGAAATGTTTCCTGAGCAAAAAATTCAGTTGAAAATTCAGCTTTGCCATCACAGGAATAAATAACATTTTAAAATATTAATTTCCACAATATTACTAATTTATAATATTACTAAATATTACCATGAATACTAATTACAGTTTCTAGTATTTACCTGTATTGACCTGTCGCAAGATAAAGAGAAATGGTCGATCTGCTTTAAAAACTGCTGAACGGGATCTTTTCAGTAGCACCATCGCTAAAAAGAAAGATGGAGAAAGAAAGTTCTGTCATTATTTCCCAGTGGATTCACAGCTTGAGCAGACTGTTCAGCTATATCCCCTCTGTTGACTACAACTGATTCTCCAGCAGGTAAACACACTCTTTGTTTAGTAGCTTTGTTGAGTATATAACACAGACATTACATCTTAAGGGAAAATTCAACCTATTGTCTAAATGTTTGTCACTGATCTCATTTCTCACAGTGTATGTTTCTTTTTTATTTAACTTTGGAATTTTTCATCAAAATGTCATAACTCAGGGGAAACAAAATACTACTCTCTGGTCACGTATGCAAGCCTTCTCTAAATATTTAGTGCAGTTAAACCATAGAAGCAAGCTCCTGTCATACATTTTTTCCACCCTAAAATCTGTTATTCTTAGATGTACGTCACAATACAGAAGAAAAGTTCTGACACTGCTTCCACTTTATCGTGACTTTCCAGGTGTAACATGACTTCTATTAAAAACTGCAATGTTTCCAATTCTATAATATGTTGCTGGCATGTCAACGTAGGATCGGATCAGTCTTAATTAACATTAAACAGACAGTTAGTAGCCTACTTGATATCTAGAGGTATTCCTAAACATTTCTATTATTTTTAATTCCCTACTAATCCCTTTCAGCAAGCAAAATATCACATACCAGTTGCTGAAGCTGCTTTTGTCCCTTCCTCTGCCACCTCTATTCTTGCCTCATGGAAAGCCTCTGATACAAAAAGCCCTTCCCCATCT